TGCCTGACAATGATCGCAAGTCTTCAAGAAAGGCTTGGAGCACGCGATGGCACGGTGCCCCTCACCATTGCAACGAGAGCAAATCACTTTCAAGTGGGCCATGGTGCAGGGTGTTGATTTTCAGGAGCCAACAGAATGAGCTTGAGCCAGAGAACTGTGAAGTCAATCTGGACAAGCGAGCCCTCGTTCTTCCATTTGCATCTCCTCTCTCCCGTCAACGTCCATTTCACGCCAAACGGACGCACGCCATTCGCCTCCTCGCACGTTTCAACACGATCTCGTGTGGCTCGCCTGGTGGAGCGCCCGTTCTTCGACATCGCTCCACACGCTCCGCGGCTGCTTCACCACCTGAGATCGACCCCGTCGATCAAGGCCCAGAGTTCGGCACCGAGCTCGCGGCGAGGTGAAGAGTTGTTGGCTGGTGTCACTCGAGCTCAACAACTACCACCTTCGGGAGCCCAAAAAAGGGTGGCTTCTGGGCACCAAAGGGGTCACCAGGAAGCACCTCTCGCAGGTAAAGGGTGTTTCACACGTTCTTTCCGTCTTTCATGGTTCCTAGTAGCGTCCTTGCTCCTAGTAGCGATGCCAGGAGCCCCTAGTAGCGTCCTTGCTAGAGAGCTTCGGGAGTCGCATGGCCATCCCCTCCCTTTCGCGCACATGTCATCTCATCCTCCGACACTCGATGCATCTTTTTCGTTCAGGCCAGGCCAATGTATGTTTGAAAGAATGTATATATATATATAATATATATATATATACTGTATATAGCAGTATAGCCAGTATAGCATTACAGAAATCATCAATTACATATACAGGCCAGTATAATTGGCAGTTCTCATAATTACAGGTGGCTTATTGCTTGGACCGTGATTTGGGTCTATGAGCCAAAACCCCTCCGGCCACGAGGGTGAGTTCCACCGTCCAGCCACCCGGCGGAGTTCCGAATCCCATGGACCCCTCCGAAAACCATGGTTGATCGTCCGCGGTGGAAACACCAATAACTCGAGGATTCGAGGTCTGTGGCCGTTTCGGGTGCGAATTCGGGTGCGAATATCATGAAAGATGATCTTGCGATGGAACCAAGGGCGCTCTCTATTGGCAATTGTACGCGTGTACATGAAAGGTCCAGAAACAGAAAACTGCATCCGATTGGTGGAAACCTTCGTTCCGGCCTGCCTGCATCAGCAAGAGGATCATCAACTCGACCGGAAAGCTGCTCTGACACACCAAAGCCCTGGTGGCGTGAATTTGTGCAACCACTGGGGAGTCTGTTTTGCAATTGCTGGTCATTCTGGATTTGTGGGTAAAGCATCATCATGTTCAAACTCCAAATATGAGCAAAAAGAACACCACGACTATGGTTTCCCTCTTTGCTTCCAAACAGCTCACGGTGCTTCTTGCGACGGTTCACGACGAACCCCGTGCCATGCCGCGCGATGCGCCGCTCCCAGCGATGAGGTCGTGCCACCTGAGCGTGAGGATGGCATCACTGGCATGGCAGGTATGGGCGATCTCCAAGCAGCGCAACTGTAGAAGCTCCAGCTCCTAGCGAGCGGAAATGGAGGAAATGCAGTGGTCAAGAGTCAAGACAAAACGACTTCATAGATCGAGCACATTCTCCAGACATGACCTTCAACGAGTCTTTGGATACTTCAGCAACCATAGGAGCAACTACTACCATGGGACCCCAGGAATACCAATGTAGACCCCCAAAACTGGGGTCTAAGTTCAAGTTGCCTAAGAAGTTCTGTGACTTTACGTCCGCACTCTAGACCTTTGGGGCGGTTCGGACCAAAAGGTCTAACCTATTCAAGTAAAACCATGTCAGACCCAAAGGTCCTGTAGAGTTAGACCCTGCTCATGGTGAACATGCTGAACGATTGATGACAGACAGCTTTTCCCTTTGCGACTGCAGAAGATAGACACTTATATTCTCAACCAGGGTCTGACAAGATATTCTCAAACATCCAGCTTTAACCATGAGCGCTGTGCCTTCAGGAAAAACATATTGGACCCTCCCACCAGACCACATTGTTGTAATGTAGGCAAGGAATGGTATTCAGAAATTGCCAAAGGTCTGGAATTGTATTCTTAAAGCAAAAACTCGATGGGTTGTTGCTATGGAATGGAGATCTACACGTTAGACTCCACCCTGTTAATGACGTTAGACTCCGCCCTGTCAATATTTAGGTGTTGTGGACACCAGGTCTGTTCAGGTGTCTGGAATGGTATTCTCATAGAAAGAACTTGCTGGGTTATTGCTATGGCATGGAGCTCTGCACGTTAGACCCCATGTTGCCAAGGTTGGGGTTTTGTGGACACCTGGTCTCTTCAGGGGGTCTAACATACTGTTCAAGCACCTCCAGATGAGCCAGGTGGCATTGTGGACTAAGGAAAAACAACTGGTTAAAAAATTAGCATTCCCATTGTTTCTACAATGCATGTGAAAAAAAGAAAAAACATGTGAGAAAGTGCTGTTGCAGCCACACGAACGGTTCTTCTCCACGATCACGAGATTCAAGACATTGTATATACATGTATATTATTTAGTATATAGTAAAATATGTTCAAGTTATATTAAACCATACTATGTTTTCTTGAAAAAGGTCTAACATGAAGTACCCCGAGCTTTAATGTATCCTACAGTACGTTAAAATGACGTCCTTCATTTTCCGTCTTGGAGGGTCTAACATAATCCAGGAGACAGGGTCTACAATCCTCCAAGGACCAAGTTAGACCTTTCACCTGCCAGTCCTGGGGGTCTGCTGATGTTAGACCCTAAGTAGTTGAGGGTATCAGCAACCCACAAGGCATCTCACTCCGATGCGCATGAAATCGTTCGGCGCGGGTCGGAGAAGAAGATGAAGAAGACTGGAAGCCGGAGATGTGTTCGGCTCGGTCGTCGCCGGCGAGCGACGGACATGGTCCGCTCCGTGGCGAGAGAAATCGGTCCAACATGTCCAGATGGTGAGAAGTCTCATCGCATGGTCTGTCATCGGATGATGGCTCTTCGGCCCGGCATCCCCGAGTTACGTCCAGTGTCCACTCACCGCCTCCTTCCGCACCGCCACTGTCATGGCCGTCGCAAGCGCTGGGGGTGGAAGGGCTTCCGCAGCTCCGCAAAGCCTTGGAGCGACCCGCTTCGGTCTGCCGTGGGGGCCGAAGAGCGGAAGAGCGGAAGAGGCGACGCCGGTGGTGGCTGGTGGTGCAAAAGTCTACGGGATAGGAAGAAGGTGGACTCCTTCTTAGGGCTAGGGGGGGGAAAATGAAAACAACATCATATCAGACCTCCCAACATCTTCGAAACTCGCATCAATCAATGTCTCCTTCAGGATTCTGGCAAGCTTATCCGGATATGGGGAGGAGTATGCATGACTGGAAACCCGGAGCCCTGGCGAAGCCCTGGTAGGTTGACCTTCCAGGTATAGGTCAACCAGGATAGGTTCGTGCCATGACCCACGGCCATATCTCAAATCTCTTTAGAAGATGGATGTGTCTTTGCGCAGCTTCATTGACCCAGGTCCCTGTGCACCAATCATCGGTGCACCCTAAACCCTAAACCGCACACGCTCAAGCTCGCACCTCTGCACCAGCTCATCCAGGATCTCCTAGATCAATCAGCTTCCAAGTGGGTCACCAAAGCCATCACAGAGAGAGAGAGAGAGAGAGCAAGGTCCCTCAGTTACGACTCGCGCAGAACATCCCCGCACCTCGTCCAGCCCAGGTCGTCCCTCACCTCGACCCTCTCCTCACCGCGGTCTCTTTGGGTTTCCCACCCCGGCCCACCACCCTCCTTGTTTGTTCGGTGACACCCCAAGAACCCCATCACCCCACGCGGCGACGCGCGTCCTGGGAGACGTCCAGCTGATGAAGGTCACCAGCCAGTCGTGCCAGCTGCTTCAAGGAGAAGTGCTCCAGGCATTCCCTGCGAAGGGATTGAGCCGAAGCGCTCAACAACCCACCCAGCGGCGCCCGAAGAACAAAGAACCCACCGACGCTCAGTTGTGCAAGGGTGTCGACGACGTTGGGAGGTCTCAAAACTGCAGGTCTCGCACCCCAAAGGGCTGACAATCTGGCCCCAATGGGTGTTTGTCTAGGTTCTTTCTTCCAAGGAGTCCAACTAGGAGGTCTCCCTATTTTAACACGAAGCGTTCCAAGCAGTGGAAACGGCTAGAAACGTCCAAAAAGGACCTTTCACGCGGCGGCTTGGAATGAACAGCCAGCTCCCTGCCACCATGCACCCATCTGATATATCTAAGAGAACACAAAGCTCAGCTGCTTGGGAGCGGCATGTAAACAAAAAATGCTTGAAAACAATTGAAAACCATGGTCCCTAATTCGCGGGTCACCTGTGCAAAAACGATGGGATATATGTCATGATGCAATCTGAGGATGATATCAAATTCCAAGCTTATCACTGTTCCATTCATAGCCACACGAAAACATACCCGGACTAGGCGGTCGAGAAAGGGAAAGCGGGATAAGGCTCGGACAAGGCGGTGATCAAAGGGCCGAGGCGGAGAAGGCAAGGCAGGTCCACAGCGCGGCCACGGCTATCATCACCAGCGCAGGAGGACACCAGGAAGGAGGACGAGAGGAGGACACAGGGCGAGGACAGCAGGAGGACACGAAAAGGACAACAGGAGGCCATAGGGTTCGCAAGCGCTGCCACCCCCAAAGAACCCCAACAGTCTCGGAGCACTCTCGGACCAAACCCTCAAAAACACCGAAAATACTTCTGCTCTGTGCACTATCTGTTGCTATACAGTATATTCCATGACATCCCGCATCCACCGACCAGATCCCCCCGTTGTGCGCCTGGACTGCCGGACGACCTGAGGCACCAGCCGCGACCTGGGAGAGGTCCGGCAGACCGGGGCCAGAAGCTCCGAAGCTCCATGCACCAGGATTTCATGTAAAGAAAGGGTGTATGCTGCAGATGTTTATGGGTTATATGCCTCCAAAACATGGCACCTCTGGAATTCTATTGACACAATGCGAGATGGTCAGGATGAGGTGCAATACCGTTTCTTGGAAGACAAGTATCCGTGCAGAAGGCGGACCAATGGAAAGTGAACATCCGCATGGTCTGCTCTAGCAAAGACTCTTCAACCCATGAAACCATCCTTCTCCAAAAAGAAGGAGCCAAACCACCCAGTGTCTACATGTACTGGGGAGAGTTTGTCACAACCAATATTCCCATCACTCTCCTCTGTCCGGCACTACGAATGAGCTTGCACTCCAGCACACGCTGTTTACGGCTGTTTCCTGACGCTGAAGCCTGTACATTGCAGGAGCTCCCAACATTGACTTGGATGTGCCAAGAAGTTGGGTCTGAAGACTCAAGAAATCAGCGAAAAAAACATGCCCTGCTCCAGCAAATGCAGCCTTGCATAGCATACACCTCGTCTTGATGAAGTTGGTGCGTGTGCGAAACTCCTGGCGGTCCATTTCAACTGGTCTCCAAGAACGCATGATGTCTGTACAAGTCTCAAGCTCCAAAAACGGAGCGAAACCGAGCTACTTCCTTGAGGGTTTAAAGGGGTAGGTAAAGTATCTATTCGGTATGCCCGAGCCTGCTTGGTGGAAGCTCCATCCTGCAAGGTTTTGAAGCATCAAAGAATAAAACCCAAGGTCTTTTCAACCAGGCGTGCTTTCAAAGGCTGAAAAGTCTCTGGAAATTCTTGTCCGAGTGGTCCCTGCAAAGTGGAACTTTGAAGAATGAACAAGTAATTGCTTTCAACCAGCAAAAAGTTAATCCGATTTGCTTACTTAAGAGCAGGCTTCGATAGGCTTGACCTTTCTAAACGTCAGAAGTCTGTACAATTCTGGACGGCAAGACCGCAGTCCCGCGGCCGAGCCGGTCCTGTCCTTTTCGCGCGGCCGTCCGAATCCCCAGCGCTTCAGCGCTGCAGCTCTGCCGCGAATTCCCATGAAACCGAGTAACATGGAAGTGGATGGCACCAGCTGTTAGCAGAGAAAATGTATGTCAGCATAGACCCCACACAGTTTCAGCATTTTTGGGGGGGCGTCAACTCCTTGAGTTCCAATGTCGGTAACGTCTGTATTGGGAATGGCATGTAAACAAGAAAACGTCAGAAATCCATGGTTCCTCATTCCCAAAAGAAAAAGGGTTCCACAGCACTGGTTTTGTCTGGCGCTGGTGTCTCAAAGTCGGCCCCTCAACGCTGGCGCAGCGCCCGTGGCACCCGTTGCCCGTCGTTGCCACTTCCTCCCAGGTCCGAGGGTCGCGCTTGCGACAACCGGGTGCTACTGGGGGTGGCCAAAACGGATCAAAACCAGCCGAATCAAAATGGATCAAATTCCTCTTTGGTCAAAACCCAAAACCAACTCAAAAAGGAACTTGGAATCGGATCGAAACAGCGACCGACGACGAGTTTGACCTTTGGGGTGGCCGAAAAAACCCAACAAACGGCTGGAACACCCGCTAAAGCCGCTCTCTGAAGAAGTTAAAGGAATTAATCCAGAAATACGGTACTGGGCGACATCAAGGGTTTGCTTTCAAGAAGCCACCAGGTTCCGGCATTACCAGAAAACAGATCCTACCCATCCCTCTCAAAATGTTTATCCCAACAGGAACTGCCTCGACTCAAAGGAGGTTCTGAAGTTCCCAAACTTTTTGACCTCGTTGCGGCGCAACACCTCCCGGCCTCGTCCGCTTCGGCGTGTTCCGCTGCAGAAAATCGGACATCTCTTCAGGGTCTGAGTCAAAGAGCCAAGGGCAGCAGGAGCGGCAGCTGCAAAAGTCAGAGTAAACACCTGCGGTCGCGCACGTCACGCGCAGACGCGCGTGAATCAGGTTGTCTCACGTCACGCACGACTCTCTGCGTGTCCATTCCGGGTCAGTGTTGCACTGCCCAGTACACCGTTTACCGTCACGGGTTACAGTAACCTACTTTTGAGCTACCTGGCGCTTGAAGGGAAGAGTACGGCATAAATCGGTAGATGTTGGAACCGGAGTTGGGGCGCTGTTTGTAAGAGCTGTTTGTACAGCGCATCTCTTGGTACAGGAGTCATGTTATATGTTCAACTTCCAGGCGGCTGCTCCTTTGCGATCCAGCCTCCTTCATACTCCAGGGGCTCGCCAATGAGATCCGATTGACAATGCTTGGACCTTGCAATTGGCTCTCGTGTGGCCAAGACCAGGGCCCTTGCAGAAGAGAAGCTGTCATCCCAGCCCATTTGATGTGGGGAAATCTTGTCCGAGAAGGTAAAGAAAGCCATTGGCCAGCCTCATCACAATGGAAGGAGCAGATACGACATGGTTGACTTCGCCATTCTGTTCCCCAAAAAAACTCATGGACCCTCCTACTTACAAATCGGACACGTCTCAAAATCCCTAGTGATCAGGAGCTACTTGGAGCAACTAGGCCTCTTCGTTTGGGGCATCCTCACTATAGCTGGGGTGGCCCAAGAGATCCTCACCTGGTCAATGAGAGTTGGCTCCGCACCTGCCCAGAGTGCATCTCCGAACGTGTTCTGCACACCGCTCCGTTCCAAAACCTTCTCCCGGGACAGCATCGCCCCGCGCGGAGCGAAGAGACACATGCCCTCAGGGCGGGCGTGAGGGTCGAGAGGGCCGGTGGAAGATGAGATGGCAGTGTATTTGAATAGGGAGATCCTCCAAAAAGACTTCTGGGACCTCTGCGAAATCAAGAACATACTATATAAATCCACTGGTTGGGAGGTCCCCCGATGAAAATTACAAACCCACATGACCTTACCAGTCCAAGGATCCAATAAAGCCCGGTCCTTGACCGTCCTCCATCACCCTGATGGCAAAAGCTGTGGCTGATGCTGACAGGAAATGCCTTTTTCATTTGAAGATTTAAGGTTGAGTGCTGTACATCAAGACTGGTCGTTTCCCAACCCCCAACCTGTTGCCTTATCTGGGCAACATCGACTCTTGCCCAGGGCAGAAAGATCTTCTCGGGCACTGTTGCCGCTTTTCACCCCAACACCAGAAAATAGGAGTGAGAAGTCTCCCCAAAAAAATCCTCCAAGTGGGGGCATCGGCGAAGCACAAACCTCCAAGTCTTCCCTCCAACCTCCTAGCGATTGCCTCCAACCTATTAGTGATGGCCTCCAACCTATTAGTGATGGCCTCCAACCTAATAGCAATGGCCTCCAACCTAATAGCAATGGCCTCCAACAGACTAGCGATGGCCTCCAACCTAATACCGATGGCCTCCAACCTACTAGCGATGGCCTCCAACCTACTAGCGATGGCCTCCAAGCTACTAGCGATGGCCTCCAACCTACTAGCGATGGCCTCCAACCTACT